CAACTGTCACTCTCATCTTTTTTCACAAACAAACTCGATATGCACAGTACCGGAACTAACGATGTTAGGCTTATCCTTCGACTCAAAATACAAATGGAAACCCGATATAAACAAGTTAGCAAAATCCCTAACTAATTTCGTCAATATAATTAAATGCCTCTCAAACGATAAATATCAGGGACCGAAAATAATCATTATTTGAGATTTTTATTTTAAAAGGCCTACTGAGGTTTTTACATATTTTAATCAACAATTTAACTGGTTTTTATGCACTTTATAGACATGAACAAATAACAGTTAATTTGCTTTCCAGATTTGTTGAAATGCATATACTTTGTGGACAAGAGTAAAAAGAACGTTATTTTTGACGTTTAAAACAAAATATCACAGTAGTCTTTTTAAAATAAAAATCTCAAATAATGATTATTTACGGTCCCTGATAAATATAACACTCAACCACTGACCTTAGTTGAAATTGTCAAAAGCATTTGCCTGTCAAAAATAGACTACGGCTTACCATTATATGGTATTGCACCGAAATCTCAAATAAAACCAATCCAAACCCTTCTTAACAATGCACTCCGTTCAGCACTAGGAGCCTTCTGCTCAACACCCGTTATAAACATGTATCTAGAATCTAACATAGCACCCTAAGACATTAGAACTCATCACCTTCAAGCAAAACTCTCTAACACTATAATGAAATCGACAGATACTCCTTTAAAATCAATAATAGACAAAATCACTAAAAAGAATACGCGAAAATACAGAAACTCAGCACTACACAAAAGCATCATGTCCTGTGTTAACCTTAACATCCCCGTTAGCCCAATAAAAATCTTACCGAAATCGAAACCGCCTTGGCATTTAAAACCTGACGCAATAGATTTACATCTGAGTAAATACAATAAAGGAACAACGAGCATGTCAATATTAAGGAAAGAATTCTTGGACATAAAAGCAAAACTGACAAATTACACACTTATTTACACGGACGGATCACAAAACCAAGACACTACTGCATACGCCATAACCACAGAGAACAATATTCTAAAAAGAGCCATTCTACCAAACTACACCTCAATTTACACCGCAGAAATTATCGCCATACTCGAAGCAGTTGAGATAGGTCGTTTGATTAAAGGAAAAATTTGCATCTGCTCGAACTCTCTATCCGCAATCCACTCGATTCAACACATCGAAAATTCCGCTTATTATCCATCGAAAATTCGTGGTATAATAAATAACGCATACCCAAAATTCAAAATCATGTGGGTTCCGAGCCACGTTGGAATTAGTGGCAACGAATTTGCTGATGAATCCGCAAAAAACGCAACTATCGCACCTCTGATAACCTCGCATAATTTAAACCAGTCCGATATAAACAGATTTTTAAAAAAACATTTCTACAATACCTCCCTTAATCTTATTCAACACTCTTCCACCTGGTACCAATTAATTAACAATAGCCATACAAATTTAAAAGACTACACAACAGCAAAAGAGATAACCAAACTATCTAGAAAAGACCAAATCCGCATAATTAGACTACGTCTGGGTCACACCAGACTCACCCATGAATATAGATTTTCCCAACCAACAAGCAACCCCTGTAAATTCTGTAACCAAAATTCAATGACAATAGAGCATATTCTAAACGAATGCACTGCATTCGACAACTACAGAGCCAGCATCCCAAATAAAAACTTAATCCCACTCCTTTCCAATCCCACGACCACTAACCTCCTTCAACTTCTAGACTTCCTTAACAAATCTAACATATCTAGCTCTTATAATTAAGATATCTTCATAACCTGAAATGTAACTGAACTAGACACTTAGTAATTAAGAATCGAACACAAAAATGAATTTATTAACTTTAAGCAGGCCTAAAGCCTTAGTAGCTATAGCTGCCCATTTTCTGTAGCTTTAGTTTTTTAACTTTAAGCAAACAGAGTGTAAAATAAATAATTTTAATTAATTATTAATTTGCCTCTATGTACATCAAATTTTACTCTGCATGAGCCCTTTCGTGTTCTATGTAAAAATTATAACAATCTTTATCATTTAATTTGCACTTCAACATCTATCCCCGTATTAAAAACTAAAATTTTATCTCATTTGCTTCAATTAGTTGTAGTATTTGTAGTATTTGTTTCATATATTTTCCTCGCGAACTCGCATTTTTGGCCTAATTGATAAAGGGTCCCGCGCGTAACAAGCACATGCTTGGTATCGTTGGGCCACTTGTTTGTACGGCTCGTAGTGCATCAACGTCCATCATATAAAAAAAAAAAAAAAAAAAAAAAACAAAAAAATGGCAAATATTCATCTGATATACCTGAACAGGACCCATCGAGATAAAGCGTTTGAAGCTCTCAAAGAAGGAATGCATGTATTTTAACTGCAAAAGTATACAAACTTCGGCCTGCCGAAGCTAACTTCCTTTCTTGTTTTTTTTTTTTTCAAGTGAGCGCTTAAATATTTACTTAAGTTATGAAAACGGAGTTTTTTGTTGTTATTACATTTACAAATATTAATGTGAACTTACAAAAGCATTCTGCCTCGATAGGAAATAATATGGGCACGGCTCAGGGGTCGAGTGCTAGGTTCTGGTACTATTTTGTTCTCGAGGGGTATCAGGTTCGAGTCCTGCTAACAACACAACTTATTATTTTTTTTTTGTTAATTAGTAGTCTTATAACTAATTAAATACAATATTGTTCTTAGACATGTTAAATATGCTTCTTAAAAACTTTTTACTTACTCTGCCATAACCGGTTTTCGAACCGGGGTCCTCTCATTTACAAGTGCAAGATCTCTGTTACAAACATCTATACACTCATTTATTCTTTTTAATGGACGACTCACATACATTTGGACATCATCCGCATACAAGTGAACATTGCATTCAGACAGCGCATTGGGAAGGTCATTAACATATAAGGAAAACAATAGGGGACCAAGAACAGACCCTTGGGGTACACCACGATTCACATTTTCAAACGCTAGACAGTACAACGAATTGACGACGATTTTGTAGGTACGAAGACACAAGTTTGACAGAAACTTTAGAAAACATGAACATGTTACGTAACCTGGCGTTTAGCATTGCATTGTCAGACATAAACTTATTAATCTGATCAGCCATTAAATTCTCAAAGACTTTGGAAAGATAGGGTAAAATGGAGATGGGCCTATAATCATTGTTTGATTTTGGAATTGGAATTATTTTAGCCGTTTTCCAACAACCCGGAAATGTGGAGGTTGTCAATGCAGTATTGAAAGTATGCGTTATGTATTGGAGGATTTTTGGCAGCAATATTTTTATAAACTTTGGGTTTATGTTGTCGAGCCCAGTAGCGTCACTCTTAATTCTAAGTATACTTTGAAGGACATCACACTGGTAAACACACATAAACCTAAACCTAATATCACAGTCAATTCCAGGTACAAATTGTGGGTTCAGGTATTTATTTTCAGAGATTTCAGGTACTGTGCAGCTTAAGAACTTTTTATTAAGATCATTAACATCTATTTCTTGCTCAGCTCGTGGTTTGGATTAGCACATTCCAAGGTTTTTGATTATTTTCCATGTCTGAGTAGTAGAAGCATTATTAAATTTACGGGAATAGAAATTTCTTGGCGATATGGGAAAGTTTGGTCACTTTTTGTCTCGATGCCTTAAACACCTGTATCTCTTCCACTTATTGTACGCTCCGTCACGCTGTTGTATTGGGTTTTTTATGTTTTTATGGAACCATGGTTTTTCAGAAGGACGAATAACTTTTTGACGGACAGGTGCAAGACAGTTATATAAATAACAAATATTGTGTTGTAAAAGGTTAACTTGTTCGTAACCTTCGAAAAGGGAATATATGTTATTCCAATTGCACAAGTTAAAGTCCAAGGGCCGGTTTCTCGAGTCCCTGTCAAAGTCCCTGATAGCTATCTGTTCAAAAAACTTAAATACCAGATAAACTGTTCGTAAAAGCAAATCCGCTTTCTCGACTACTTTAATTTATCTGAACGAGAAACAATTACAGAGTGCTGTTAACGCACAGAATTGTGCTGTGAAGCGCAAAAAATGGCGTGCTTCGATTATTTCATCAGCTGTTTGGGTATAATTCAAAGGAAAAGTCAGCTGTGATTTCGTTTTTTCTTCATAGTTGGCTTTGGAAAATCAGCTGTCATTCTATCGAGCCGAAAACGCTTAACAGCGACTCCGAGTCCCTGTCAAAGTTAGCTCTCACATTGGTGCTCGAGAAAGCCAAAATGCCTTAGAAGGGACTTTATCTGTTCGAGAAATGTTAGCCGGCACTCGGGAAACCGGCCCTAAGTCCAAAAGGTCGTAAAATCCCTAAAAACTATTGCATGGTCAAGGTATTGTTACTCCAGTAAATCGGATTTATTTTTTGTTGTTAATAAAGTAAGAAGAATCGCCAAGTTGACTACTTCTACTTATAAATTGATTAAATATTGGAGTCGCCAAGTTGACTTCCAATAATTTCGTAACAGATCGCCAAGTTGATAAGTTACTCCTTGAAACAATGTTCAAGTTGTTCGGGAAAACGGTCGGAGTTTTATTCGAGCCAGATTTCCCTAGTTATCTTTTCTGTTAATCAAATGATAAAAACAGATTTAAGACAACATAAAAAATCTAGATGATTCGATCGCCAAGTTGATCGAGAATCTGTCTAGTTCGTATGTGTAGAAAATAGTCGCCAAGATGACTATTCAGAGTCAAGGGGGCCACCATGGCGAAGGTATCGCATGGGGGTTTGTTAGTTATAAATACATTGCATCACTTAGGTTCTAAGATATACAGAAATACAAAGTCATACAATTTGTCTCCCATGCAAGGGATTAATAGGCTAGGGTAAGTAAAAATAGAATGCTGGAACGGCAGGTAGCGGGGTTTGAGCTGGCGCTGGCTGTGGCTGCTGTTGACATCTTAGGGACTCAAGTGCAGGCGCTAACATGGAGGAACCAGGACCATTATGTACATTATGTACAACCGATGTTACTTGACCAGAGGATACTGGCGGTGCCGTTATAACGGAGGATACCGACGGTATCGCGTTGGCGGATTGTGGAAGGTTGAATTGTACGGCACCAGGATCAGGCTCAGGATGAGAGCCAGGGGCCAGGTCTGCACATATAGACTTAGGAGTTACAAAATTAAGCACTGGAGCAGGAATTGCCAATCTAGTAGGAGACCTGGCTAATTTCATGGTAGGGCATAATAATAAAGGACCCGGCAGTGGAGGCACAAGGTTATTCGATGATACGCAGTTTTTATCGATTTCGCTGGCATTGGCAGAAACTAATGAAGCGTACATTAGTGAGCTATTGGAGGAGCCAGGATCCCTCACGGATAAGGGTGGAATAGCAGGAGTAAGATGGTTCATTAATTGGCCAGTTGGAGGAGAATAAATCTTTGTTGGAGTTTTCTTAATTGTTTTTAGCCCATTAAACTGGGACTCAACGGCTATCAGCTTCTCGTGAAGTTTGCCGCATGAAGGAACGCATCTCGTCCGTAATCTCACGGCACGCGGAGCAGGTCCAAAGAAATCCAATTCTTTTGGAAATAAGATCACCAATACGACCATTTACGCCGACACCGGCGCACTTACAACGCGCAGTATTCTCGCATAGCCAGCACAACAAATAAGTTTCGCCAGCAATAATGCCGTTGAACTCGCATTTTTTGGCTGAGCAGGATAGACTCATTTTTGAATGCACTCAGGTCACTGTGCAGAGCAAAGTAAGAGCGGCGAAAGATTAAGGCAACGCTTGGAGAGCAGCGGAATCAAGAGCAGCAAGCTAAAACGTTCGTAAGAGCGTAAGTTAACAGGAGGGCTTGCACTGATCGGTGAATTTTGGCGACACGCACAAAGCGGCGTAATAGTGGTAACGAACCGGCAGCTCCGAGAGGCGTACAGCAGGAGAGCGGGAGAATAGAAACAACAACACAATACTTGCTGTGACAAAGCAGACGCTTTGTTATTGTTTGCTGGCTGATGTTAAAATTTGGTTTGTTTATAAATTAAACAAGTTTATATTAACTGTCCGATCTCAGATATGATTTGAACAGTAGGAGTATAGGAACCACAGAACTTGTAGGCTAATTTAGCGATTAAATTTAAAATTTTATCATTTAAATAAACAAAAGATTCTGGAGCAACAGAAAAACACGACCGGCTTAGGCGAAGGTTGTACTGTTGAGTCGGCAACTTAAATATCGCAGCCGCGACCATGCATCTTGTCCTATTCGCACTCACAATCCATCGCCCCGTACTCAACGCGCCCAAAACCGCGGTGGCGCCGATGCGCCCCTGCAAGATCGCGAACATTTTCGAGAATTTACCGCTTCGAAAGCCGCGGTATTGTCATCTTTTACTCTCTTGCACGTCTCCGCTGCCAAAGCCACGCAGTTAAGTTGCGCAGTTGTAAAAAGTTGGCGAACGGCGAAGACGTGCGAGCAGACGAGGAGAGCACAAATGTAAGATATTATGTAACTGAATTACCACAAATGCTAACATGAAATAAAGATTTCAGTTGTTATTTTTCTGATCGACTGTTTCTGAAGTGAACTACTCGAAGGCTGTGTTTTATGTGGAAGGAACGTCTCTCGCACCAGTCGCGAGCCAACAAAGATAATGGTCGGAGTCGATGTTGGGACCCCGACAGGATCGCACGTCGAGTATATTAGATGTGTGCTAGTCACAGATAGGTGCAAATATTTACTTATTATATGACTTAAAACTAATTTTATATATAAAAGAAAAACTAAACTAAGTCGCTTTCTAATTTTACTCTGATTTACCTTATAGTGTTTTTAAGGTGTGAGAGTAGCTTTATTTTGAATTGCATTGCACTGCTAATATTCTTTATATGGCTGGGGAGCTGATTCTATGATCGAATAGCATTTAGTAAAAATTGTCTCTCTAGGTGTTATGCAAGTTAGGTTGTTTGCTCTTCTAGATGCTGTAAATTGGAGTTTTTAAAATAGATACGAAGGTTCTTTTTCTAAAATAATTGTATGGAGATAAATTAAGTTACGCATCTTTATCCATTCATTAAGGTCGACATTAAATATTTTTTGTGAAAATTCCGAGACATGATTTCTTAGTGGTAGGTTGAATACGTACCTTGCTATGCAATTGAATACCACCTTAATTTTGTTTTGGTTGATCGTGTCACAATTTGAAAAAACTTATAAAACTTAAAAGCACTGGAGCAATACATTTTTTGGCCATCATTAAACGTATATGAGTGGGCAAGCAATTTTTGGTTACGCATAATGTTCTTATTATGCCATATGTTTTTCTGACAGCCTTTGTTATATGACCATTCCAGGTAAGAGTCCTTTTGATAGTGAAACCTAAGTTTATGGCTGTTTCAACATATTCAATTTTTTTTTAATGGGTTGATCCCAAGTCCATTGTTGCCGGCCCACTCATTTACAAGTGCAAGATCTCTGTTACAAACATCTATACACTCATTTATTCTTTTTAATGGACGACTCACATACATTTGGACATCATCCGCATACAAGTGAACATTGCATTCAGACAGCGCATTGGGAAGGTCATTAACATATAAGGAAAACAATAGGGGACCAAGAACAGACCCTTGGGGTACACCACGATTCACATTTTCAAACACTAGACAGTACAACGAATTGACGACGATTTTGTAGGTACGAAGACACAAGTTTGACAGAAACTTTAGAAAACATGAACATGTTACGTAACCTGGCGTTTAGCATTGCATTGTCAGACATAAACTTATTAATCTGATCAGCAATTAAATTCTCAAAGACTTTGGAAAGATAGGGTAAAATGGAGATGGGCCTATAATCATTGTTTGATTTTGGAATTGGAATTATTTTAGCCGTTTTCTAACAACCCGGAAATGTGGTGGTTGTCAATGCAGTATTGAAAGTATGCGTTATGTATGGGAGGATTTTTGGCAGCAATATTTTTATAAACTTTGGGTTTATGTTGTCGAGCCTAGTAGCGTCACTCTAAATTCTAAGTATACTATGAAGGACATCACACTGGTAAACACACATAAACCTAAACCTAATATCACAGTCAATTCCAGGTACAAATTGTGGGTTCAGGTATTTATTTTCAGAGATTTCAGGTACTGTGCAGCTTAAGAACTTTTTATTAAGATCATTAACATCTATTTCTTGCTCAGCTCGTGGTTTGGATTAGCACATTCCAAGGTTTTTGATTATTTTCCATGTCTGAGTAGTAGAAGCATTATTAAATTTACGGGAATAGAAATTTCTTGGCGATATGGGAAAGTTTGGTCACTTTTTGTCTCGATGCCTTAAACACCTGTATCTCTTCCACTTATTGTACGCTCCGTCACGCTGTTGTATTGGGTTTTTTATGTTTTTATGGAACCATGGTTTTTCAGAAGGACGAATAACTTTTTGACGGACAGGTACAAGACAGTTATATAAATAACAAATATTGTGTTGTAAAAGGTTAACTTGGTCGTCAACTTCGGAAAGGGAATATATGTTATTCCAATTGCACAAGTTAAAGTCTAAGTCCAAAAGGTCGTAATTGATACTTCTAAAATCCCTAAAAACTATTGCATGGTCAAGGTATTGTAGTTCAAGTGCATAGGTCAAGAATATTAAGTCATGTTTTAAAAAGGACGGGACAATAAGTTGGTCATATTTAGCTATTCTGTCTGTGTCAGACACAACAAATAGGTTTAGGAGCGAGTTGCGAATTTTGGTAAAATTTGTTGGGGATACGGAATTTACTAACTTCATGCCCAGCGATTTAATGTTCTCTGCGAGGTGGGACTCCTTTATAATGTCGCTATTAAAATCTCCTGTTATAATAACGTCTTAATAATTTAATGACACGTCTGGGAAAATAAATATTTAAAAACTGCTCATAGTTAATCCGGCAATTTGGTCGGTATATACATCCAATTGGCAGTTTATCGGCATTTCTTCGACATCTAATTTCTACAAACAAGTAATCAATTACACTGCTAGTCGGATATTTACAAATAAACGTGGAACTTAACTTTTTACTCACATATATTGCGATGCAAATTATAGCCATCACATTCAACTAAGACATCACATAAATTTGGAAAAAAAAGTTTCAGACACACATACTTACTAATATAACAAGTGCGGAACACGCTGAGGGTGAACAAGGTTAGGTTATCTACTATTCCTAGCCCTACCAGCTATTGATTGCGATCCTTTGACCATCACGCTGATTTAAATTTGTGGTGCTTTCCAAGTTAGAAATTCTAACTTGTACTAATACTAATACTTATGTTTATCGGCGCGCAATTTAAACATAAATTAAATATTTCATAACGTTATGGAAATATTTTTTTTTGCTTGTTGTTATTATTGTTGTGTTATACAAATTAAGCAACCATGACCTAGAGTTCGTAATAGTAGTGTAGTTTTTTAAGAAATGGATTGAAGTTTTTTTATTTTTTTTTCTTTTTTTTCGTTTTGTTATAAGTTAGTATTAAGGTTCAGCAAAACAATCATTTTATTAGCAATTGGATCAATGGGCAGTTAAAAAAAAACTAAACAAATTTTCGATGGTTTAAGCGATATATCGAGGTTATCAACCATCGATTGTGAAAACATCGATGTACCCACCATCGATGGTTTTGCATCTCTACCTCGAGCCAGTCGATAACCATTTTCTCGATCTCGGGAGGAAGTTGGAAGCCAACTAACTTAACACAATAGTCGAGTCCGCTAAATATCGAACCCTTGATATCTCGATGTGAATGAAAGATAGATCTCTCATTAGCCCTGCTATCAGTAACGCTCCCTACAGTTCTAGCCGAGGCAATGAAGTGACCCTAACCGTCCCCACTTTTAATTCGATCGTTACCAAGTGAACAGCGATCTCACCCGTTGTACTGATGACCCGAGCATAGACAGCTGCGCCATAGGTTCGACATAAAATGTCGGAAAATTTATTTTTGTTTGCCAGGTGATGATTTAGTTTTATTTTAAACTTAGTTTAATCTGTTCGAGGCAATATATATTTGAATAATCACTGTATTTGAATTATGTTACACTAAAATAAACCTTATTAGTGCATTACAAAATATCATGCGTGTATGGCTTAATCAGTTAGTGTGTCTACAAGTCCAAAGAGCGACTTTTCTCAAAAAAAGTTAGTTTGTTTTAATTCCATTAAAATATCATTTACCGTATTTAATTACAAAACAAGAGAGAACGCTATAGTCGGGTTGGTGTTCCGACTATCTAATACCCGTCACTCAGCTAAAGGGAGTGCGAGGGAGATGGATATACAACATTTTTTGATAGGTTGAGATTTTCCACACATATTCTTGGACTTCCTACGCAGCGCAAGTTTATTTCAGCCAAGCGCCACGCCCCCTCTAACGCCCACAATCGCCCATTAACGATTTTAAAATATGTCTGGCGGCCACACCTTTAAAGATTTCCGAGAAGTATAAATCCAATTTTGTTGTGTATATTTATACCTATCGAAATGTAGAAGACATTTTTCAAATCGGACCATTCATTAAATAGTTATACGCAATCAAAAAAATGTTATATATCCATCTCCCTCGCACTTTCCTTAGCCGAGTGACGGGTATTAGATAGTCGGGACACGAACCCGACTATAGCGTTCTCTCTTGTTTTTCTATTATTTTTTTTATTTTTTCTTTGGGAGCCATATGATATAGTGGTCCGATCCGGATCGTTTCGACATATGTACTACCTGCAATAGAAATAAGACTTGTGGGAAAGTTTCATCGCGATAGCTTTATAACTGATGGACTAGTTCGCATAGAAACGGACAGACGGACATGGCTAGATGGGCTCGGCTATTGATGCTGATCAAGAATATATATACTTTATGTAGTCGGAAACGTCTCCTTCACTGCGTTGCAAACATCAGACTGAAATTATAATACCCTCTGTAAGGGTATAAAAATATATATAAAATACTATACAAAGCTTTAGGGAATTTGTACGAGGTGAATTTAAATTAAATTATATTTAGTCTGACCACTATTGTATTTTTCATATCTTTTAACAGGCTTCACTAATTTTGAACCACAACTATCCTGTAAAAGAGCACACGGTGCATACCCCCGATGACTACATCCTTACTATTTACCGAATTCCAACGACCCCAAAGAGAAATCATCAAAACCAGACGGCCGAAAAACCAGTGGTCTTTTTGCAGCATGGCATCCTGTGTGCTTCAGATGACTGGATTATCAACGGTCCAGAGACATCGCTGGCCTACATGTTTACAGACGCCGGCTACGACGTGTGGCTCGGAAACGCACGCGGCAACACATACTCTCGCCAGCACAAGCATATCCATCCGGATACGTCTGACTTTTGGCGTTTCAGCTGGCACGAGATAGGGGTCTATGACCTCGCGGCCATGTTAGACTATGCGCTGGCGGAAAGCCAATCAAACTCTCTGCACTTCGTGGCTCACTCCCAGGGTACCACCACATTCTTCGTACTGATGTCCTCTTTGCCTTGGTACAACGAGAAGATGCGTTCCGTGCACCTACTGGCGCCAATGTATATTTTAAAAATATATACACAAAATTATTTAAGCTTATATTTATAAATAATTTGATTTAATTTCAACAACTTTAGAGGGTTCATCCAGGCAGTTACACGGACTACGAGGCCATGAAAGCTAAGAAAGCTAAGACAAATATGGAACTTTGTAAGGAAAATTAAAATTGTTTTTCGGTTCCTTGATCTCAGCTTTCATAAAAAAAACAATATATTTACCTTTTACCTTTACCTAGGTACTGGGAAATTGAAGTACCTTCACCTTACCTAGGTATTTATTTCCCAATACCTTTTACCTTACCTAGGTAAAAAAACAAAGTACCTTTCCCAACACTGCTTGCGACAGCGGTGTTTTTTTGGCCGTTTACAGCTGTTAACTGACACAACAGGGCTGTAATGCCCGTTTTTCCCAACGTAAAAATTCTATATAAAATCGAACCCTGCATTGATTTTTGAGTTGATGGTCTTATTAGTTGGCTTAAAGATGTATCTTTAAGTAGAAGTTATAAAACTAATTTCGGTTTTCAGGCGTGTATTTTTAACGAAGCCATTTACGCCAGCATTTTTGCGTTTTTTCCAACTTTTTCAACTTTGAAAACTTGTAGCTTCTAAACTAATGAATGAATCTCAGTGCTGTGTATAAGAAAGTTGGAGGGCATTCTATTGCCTGTGAAATTAGTCGAGTTGGAAATTAAAAAAGCGTCAAAAACGTTTTATACACTTTAAAAAAAAGCTGTACCATACAAAAAATTAAAAGTGCCCATTTCTTACACAGGGAGATGTACCTTAACCGAAAATCAGTTTCATAAAGTGCGTATTTCATCATTTTTTTTTGTAATCTGGTGTTATAAGACAGAAAAAGAGAGAGCAATATATGAATATCGGCTTCCCTTTCGTGCACGATAGATTTCGTCCGCAGTCTTCTGCGCTGCGCCGACTTCTCTGCTGACGTCGGCAGCGGCCGTTCGTTTGGCCTAATGAATTTGTCATGTGTAACCACTCCAGAACTGAAGGGAAGGGACACCCTAATACATACTTACGGGGAGACCGTGACGTCACATTAGGCATAGCCAAATTTGAAAATATTGGGGACTTGGTTATGGATGCTGAATCTCCAAAAAATTTAAATGCAGTTATTTGCGGGCATGCTATAAGATTATGAACATCACATTTTTAAACCAATTTAACAACATTTATAACAGAAAAATGGCAAAAAAAAAGAATTAAAAAAATCAAATTGAATTTTATGGCACTTTGGGGTCGTTTTTTGTTCTAATTTGTTCCACCCACGCGGCTCCTAATTATTTTAGTAGTTAATGTGATTGTTTTTAGATTTTTATGTCAATCCGTTCTGGGTGAAATATGCTACTGACCGTTTTTTAGAGGTCCAATTTTATATAGTTTAGATGACAAATGTTTTGGAAATAGTGCAGTATTCCAAGGATGTCCCAAGAGCATAAAGGGCAGTAGCAGTAACCTTATCCAATGGATTGGCTAGGCTAGAAAGGATCGGAAGCGACCTATTGGTCGTTGCAGGGCCGGCTCATGGGCCTTCTTCCCCGCCTCCATTATCTTGTCACTAGTTTCTTGATCACATGCTGTCGCCATTTGTCCATCAAGGCGACCTCCTGGTCGCACTTTGAGCGCAGGAACAAAATCTGCTTCGACCATTGAAGTTAACACCACAGCCATTCAACTGTCCCCCCTACCATCATCGACACCTCGATGAGCCCCTCACCACATCCACACATATCGCCGCACATGCCGGCGAAATATCTGCTGAGTACCCAAGTCTCGCTTCCCCCCGGCCCCCTGCCGACGAAGTATCTGCTGAGCACCCAAGCCTCGCTTCCCCCCGGCCCCCTGCGCAAAATCAGCATTCTATGTGCCGTTGACTCTCACGATATCCGGTGCCGGCCCAACGGCCGATCGTCAGCAGAACTGGGCCAACAACGACGAAGTAGTGCAGCGATGGAAATTGCAACGCTTGCAATCGCCGACGACAAGCTACAGCGCAGCGCAGCCGCTGCAGTCAACCCGCTGGAGACAACAACACTTTCCGGGACAGGTGACCACAAAGCTACAAGACGACGCCGGCAGCGACGTCAACCGAGAGCGCAGCGAAGCTAGCCGGCACCGAGGAAAAACTTAGGAAAGCAGTCTGGATCCGGACGGCGAGCCAATCAATTGCATTGAATATTAAATTAACTTTAACTTTAATTTTAAATAAATCATTATAACGTACCCAAACGAGCCTAAATTGGTATCCTATTCTGGGAGGCAGCTGGGACCCTATGGAAATACCTATCCTTAGGTAATGATTGGCACCTGCCCTAGGGGACAGGATGCTGACAGGCTCCTGCCTGGACAGGCAGAAGTCTTAACTTTGATGACCATTCAATATCCAAATGACACACGTGACACTTCCTGATTTTCTTACATCCACCGGCTGCTGCCCCTCATCTGATTTTACTTTGCTCCTTCTCGCGCACAATGTACTCGTGGGTGTTTATTTATTTATTTCTTTATTCGCCAACAGTAAAAAAACCTTAACTGGCTACTAACTAATACTAAATTAAATACTAAGTGAGGCAAAATAATTATACAAGTTTTTCTTGATTAAATCTCTGGGGGAGCATGGATCCAACCGCATGTGAGATGGCAACTTATTATAAAAATGCAGGGCTCTACACAACGGCTCATTGTGGGCATAATTGGCTCTGTAAGCCGGTACAAAAAATGGTTCAAACGTTCTTAACGATCTACCAGGCACCGATAACCCTATGCTGCCCAGCAGTGCAGGGCAGTCGATTTTAGAGGTCAGCAAATCACATATGAAAACTAATGAACTGGTAGTTCTCCGATCTTCTAGGGAAGAAAGGTGAACAAGCCGACATTTGGCAGAATAAGACGGGACCGGGTCATTGAAATTTAAAGCTAGAAGGGCAAAACGTAGAAACTGTTTCTGTACACGCTCAAGCCGGTTAATGTGAATAGTACCCGTCGGGTTCCAGATGAACGAGGCATATTCCAGTTTTGACCTAATGAAGGCTGAATATAAGCTTAGCTTCGTGTAGGGATCTTTAAATTGCGCGGCATTTCTTTTTACAAACCCATACATAGCGTAGGCCTTGGGAATAATATAATTAATATGTTCAATGAACATAAATTTACTGTCAAACATGACTCCTAGGTCCAGGGATTCATTTCTCAGAGACAGAATATGGGAGTCAATGGAATACGAGAAAAGGATATTAATTATTCGTTTACTGTACCTAACGAAGAAACATTTTGACAAATTAAGTGGCAAATTATTACGAGAACACCAATTTCCCACCCTTTCTAGGTCATTTTGAAGAAGGTCACTATCGGAGATACAATTCACAGCTCTAAATATTTTAAGATCGTCAGCGAACAACAGAAATTCCGAGTTCTTTATGCAATAGCTAATATCATTTATGAAGACGATGAACAGCAACGGACCCAAAGCACTTCCCTGAGGAAGGCCAGAAGTTGCCACATATGGGTTAGAGTAAACAGCATTGCATTCAACTCTGTAAATCCGATCATCTAAATAAGATTTGAACCAGCTAAGTAATAGTGAGTGAAATCCCATTTTCTGCAGTTTAGCTAATAAAGCATTATGGGAGACTTTATCAAATGCTTTAGCGAAATCGGTGTAGACCACATCAACTTGATGATGACTGAGAAACGATTCCAGCTACTGCTGTAGCGGGTCGTGTCAGAGAATTATTAAGATTGATATACGATATGTAAGACCGATTTCTGCAGCAGATCATTTTGCTTTCTATTTTCTGGACTCCCGGCTACAGTTTCCGACGCATTTGTTTGCCGCTACCCGATCTTTCTTTGGATTTCCAGCAAATACTGGCAATAGATGCTCACGCAGCATAGCGTGGGTTATTGCTTTCATCATTGCAGCAATGTTTTTACACATATATTCGGTGTGCAAATGCTGTTCTGCGATTTTAATTATAAATAAATAATTATTCAAATCTATTGTTTTTATTGTTTAGCTCGCGACTAACAATTTCACAGAACAGCTCAAACGCTTTTAAAATGGAAGCACCTCACGTTCACAAAAAAAAAAATTCACAATAATACCAAAAAAACCATATAGTGGGAAAATTCCTTTAGCTGAACTGAGTACTAGCCTTAAGAAATAAATCGGCAGTGTGCAAAGGGTATAAAGAAATATAAAAAAAATTCCAGATTTCGTGAGTGAATTCTGATGAATGCCATTATACCTACTGCACACAGCCGATTTAAATTGCAACATTGAATTGCGTTCAAATAAAAAATTATATCATCATAAACAACCCGAAACCGAAATGATAGGACGTGCAAATTAAGTTTTCCCGAAAAGAAAATGGAAAGCAAATCAATGCTTAAATACGTGTGCCAGAACGAGACTGGGAATAACGCTAAAACTTCGCTTCATCGGAAAGTGGGACCGCATTTCTAGTATTTCTGTACTATTAGTCAGTATTTTTAAGAGTGTAGTTTATTTCAGTTCTTATTTTATAATATTATTGTTGTTGGTGCACGACCAAAGAGCTGTACAATGTGATATTGCCTATTTTGTAAGGATTGGCATTGGCCAATATCCAGCCTGTGTTCTATTTGGCAAGACCTGGCAACTGTTGTACCAAAACATTATACGACTTTAAATTGACTAGAATGTTTGCTTAAAAGCGCAGGAAGTTGTTTTAAATACGGGTCAAAACGGTTATTATTTGTGGAAGTTCTCGTGGCTTCATTGTTGGCATACAATAGTTGATAACATTCCGCATGCATGCATTTTATTTCTTTTCTTCTCGGTGAAACTCTATTTTCAGGTCCTCTCCCATTGGTTTAGGGGTTGCTTATGCCGCCGCTTAAGCGACTCTCTATGTGAACACGAGAGAATAGCTGATCTGAGTACTTTTACAGCCAGGGTATTCCCTAAACTGTTGAATTGCTGAATTGTTGAAAATTCAACAAAAAATTTCAGCAATTTAGGGAACGACCCAAAATGGTTCCTGTTGAATTTTCAAACAGCTGTTATTGGTTGAAAAGTTTCACGGAACTTAAAGCATGTAAAATTTGATGTATTATTGCTAGTTACTGTCCAAAATTGTTACCAAGGTAAAAAGAACCACAAATATGCTTTCTAAGTTGAATTTAAAATAAATAATGCGTACTGGTGATACTAAAATATTACAGAGTTGCCACGACTTTTAAAAAAAATGTGACAACTCTGGCTTTTCAGCAATTCAACCAAATTTTCAATAGCCTCGAGGCTGTTGAATTGCTGAAATTTATGAAAGTTGACTTTGTATGGGACAGCTGATTAACAGCTGACCAAAATTTAACAATTCAGCAATTCAACAGTTAAGGCTTAGTACTCAACCCAACAAAAAGTCGTCCAAAACAAAAAACTTCATATGAAAAACAACGTCAAAAAATTTTCTTTCATATGAAGTTTTTGTTTTGGACGACTTTTTGTTGGGTTCAGTACTAGCCCTTAGGGAATACCCTGAGCGATTCGTTCTTACGTTAAAAACACGGCCCCCGCTCAAATGTAGTGTGAACAGGATATTAGACTGGGCGGTCATACCTAAAAACATGCGATAGGAAATTAGTGGAATGGGGCGTAGTAAGATGGTAAACTCGTCGAAAAAGGTAGGAAACACAGTAATTATGATAATTATGAATAGTTGCATGTTTTTGAGTTGACAGATTATGAAGCACAGCGAGTTCATAAATCGAATTCGAAAAAGCCTCTACTATGGCGTGGGAACAGAGGACACAGACATGGAGGTTTCCCTTCCCTTTGCGGAGTACGCATCAGAGATGTTTTCGAAGCCCCATCAGGGCCACTCCTTGCATCGTCTAAGTTGTGTTGCTGCTGCAAAAGTGCAGGCCACGCCTTGCTCCCTTATTATGGCACTGATCTACCTAGACCGCTTAAACGTCACCGATCCAGGCTATAGCTGCCGAATCACTCCACAGGAGCTGTTCGTCGTATCACTGGTAAGCATCAACACCTGTTGATCGACCTGCTTCGAAAATCAAGAGCAGTGCGTGTACGCCCATGGTTCTAATATGAGCAGCTCCAATACCTTCTAAATTCTTGCAAACCTTTTTTCTTACCCAATGATTTAAACAATCAAAATCCTTTCAGATGATTTCCACCAAGTTCTATGTAGGCCATGACGAACGGTTCTATTTGGAAGACTGGGCCAATGAAGGCAATATGACTGAAGACAGACTTAAGGAAATGGAGCTCGAGTTTCTTTCAGCTTTGGTAAATAGTACAAAGTCTGCTTTACAATAATATAACATGTTTGTTCTAGGACTGGAATATATACATATCCAACGAAATGTTTTTTAATAAGTTAAGCCATATTGAACGATCGCTGGCCGAACGGCAGGGATTGCGGAGAGGGTGGCTTACTTATAGTGAGTTGGCACAGCTGCTGCCCTGCTTTGAATGGACGAAATTTCTAGTAAACAGTGTATCCGTACTAGTGCTAAGCTATGCAGCAAGTGTGATAACTTTGGCGGGAGCTTTTTACATTGCCAGTCAAGTTCCAGGAACGTTATGGCATCGTGCGGTTAAAACTACACCAGAAACACGGTCAAGTGTTTTAAATCTGACGAATCCAGCTACTACTGCTATAAATGGCAAAGTCTCTGCTTTGATATTAGACGTTGAAGAGGAACTCTTGAAACTTAATAAGCAAAACTGCGACGAAGCAAACCTTAACAAAATGGATTATTCGCATGATCAATCTGGACCTAATCCCCTATTAATGAGAAGCTTTCCAAAATTCCAATTGATTTTGTCCAAAGAAAATACAGATACCTGGCTTAACATAAAATCACAGTACAGCGACCACGAAATCGGAAATAATTTGATAACTGTTCGCAGCCTACAATTGGAAAACCACTGGAAGCATGCAAGAAATGGTTCAGTTTTTTGGCAAGTAATTACCGCAGCAGTGCAGCATTCTTTTTTAAGGCGATGGCCTGAGGTGTGGTCAAAACGTCTCTGAAATAAATAATCGCTAATTAGAAACATTTTTGTTGTTTGAACTACTGGTTTTTGTATTCGTGCAAAATGCAAAAGGGAGAAGGAAGCGCAACCGAACTTATCTCTAAAGATTATATGAAAGACCGATTTTTAAATGGATATGACCACATTTCAAACCGTAAGAGCTAGGCAACCAAAGTTTTGCACATTCCATAGGGGGCCTAACCACCTACTAAGATCCGATAAAACCCCAAACAGCGCCAACATCAAGGCTAGGCTGACTGTCCGGGGCTACTTATTTGCGCTTTATATTGGGCCTAGCGGTGGCCGGGCCGTGCCAACTTCCACACTTATTCGTAGCTACCCTGGAGAACCAGGGCGCTCGCTATCCGTAGCCTGCGACCCGTTCGGTAGCCTTCAGCTCGGCACCCTCCAAGCCATCCCACTAGCTCATTGGCCGAAACATAACATCAAAATTTGGTAGAAAAAATTATATCTATTTAATGCTTAACTTCTAAAGTGGTTGGAATTTTAAAATTTGGATTTTCGGACTTTTAGGTTTTGAAAAGGCCTAATTAGAAATGAAAAAGACATTTCGAAGTCCCACATAACTTGCGGGCTACATTTAAAGATAACTTTTGGATTTAAAAAATCTACCGTTGCTCCAAACAAGATAAATAACACTATTCAACATCAAAAATTTACCGCGATGGATGCTATATTTTTGGATTCGTTACGAATTCCCAATTTAGGCTTAGTACTCAACCCAACAAAAAGTCGTCCAAAACAAAAAACTTCATATGAAAAACAACGTCAAAAAATTTTGTTTCATATGAAGTTTTTGTTTTGGACGACTTTTTGTTGGGTTGAGTACTAGCCCTTAAACTGCGTTTTCCAAAAAGTTGCCCGACGCAAGGATTCTTAGCAAAATGACCTTAAAGTTCGAAAAAATCTGAAACTGGCCAACTTCCCGGAGCTCTCAGAGGCAAACGGACTCATGGTTTGATTCGATGTTAAAGTTTTTTAAAAGTTTTTTTCTTTATCTTTCAAACCCCATACTTAGAAAAATTTTAGGATTTTAGGAGAAATAAATTCTTGTCATTTATCTTCTTCTGGTAATATTGTATTGGTTATAATAAATTATTATATTATTGCATTGATTATAATAAATTATAATTATTGGGTTTGATAATTATAATTATAATTATAATTTTACTATTAGAATAATTGGTTAAGAAAAGTTACAACAACAAACTTTTGAAAACACAGGGCGGTAATACTACTACGGTTTTGACCGCAGCTACATATATACTTTTATGTTTTTTGACTACGTTTTCTAAAATTTGTTTCTTCCTTAAAAAAGTCCTCAAATTATTAAAAGTATGGGGTTTGTTAGTTAGTTTTTAATACTGGAACAGAAGTGCAACTTAAATGTTATAATTATTACATAGAACGCGAGAGGGCTCGTGCAGACTAAAATTTTAAGAACTTCGTGGCAAATAATAATTTCGTGTTAGTCTAAGGGGGAACATTAAAAGTTAGGCGGCTCACAAGTACTACAGATTATGCATAAAAATAGTACCAAGCATTTTCTACGATTTGCAAGTGTCGTTAAATTAAGCTTTAAAAATTTACTCTGGGATGAAGGTAGCCTTACGTTTTGATTCCAGTTCAAACTACAAAGGGCAAAACGGATACATTTTTTTGTACCGATTCTATGCGGTCAATGCTCACTCGTATTGTTGGCTCCACACCCTTTCCCAAGGCAATTTATGCACAACGATAGCTTTTTTGCGATATTGAACTGCTCATTTACGTTGAGGGCAGAAAATGAGGGACATTTATGCGATTATTCCACTACATTGTTCGGTTCATTCATTAGAGCAAGGTGCGAGCAAGACAGATATATGTCGGCTGCAATGAGCAATTAATGACCAAAATTTGTAAAATTGTACTACCTGGACCGATGAGCAATGAGCAAAATTGAATCTAAAAAGTAAAATTTTGCTCATCATAGGATAAATTATAAAAAAAGTATTTTTTTTGGAGAAGCTACTGAGAATGACTGTCTTGGCTGTGATTAAAAACTAATCGAGGATCTCTCTCCTCGCTTTCTGGGTCTAGGCGCTCAATTTTGGGTTGGATTTGGGACTCTTGCCTAAAATGAGCTTCTTGCACCTGCGCTCGGCAATCCAATTCTGCGACATTCATCCAAATATCAGTTTCTACATGTTTCTTTGGGTTCTCATCAGCATAAGTATGCTGTTTTTTTTTTTTTTTGCAAAATAGTATCTAAACGTTCTTCCGATTTGCTCATTTTATTGCTTCGTAATTATTTTCCAAGTACCGCCTTTCCACTGGTTATGTGTTCCCTTGCTGAGCGTGACCGTTCGTAGGAAATATAGATAAATCAGTATCACTTTCCAGTGTAATGTGTTGCCAGAAGAAGAATGTAGACCAAAAGGGAGACCCAAACATGCGCGGATCCACGGGGGGTGATATGGGTGATATATAACCCACTCGGGTGAAAAATGAAAGGAATTTTGGTATTACAAAAGTATGCAACAAACAAATTGTTCTAATATCACCCCCCACAACAAAATCCTAGATCCGCCACTGGACCCAAATGATTATGTTTCGCCACAAACGAGTTCGCCGAAGTTTTTTTTTTTGTAATGAAATTTTAATTAAACGTTTATCAACCAAATAAATGGTTATAAAACGCATATTTAGAACATATAAACAAATAACTGGAAACATAATTGAGTGTGGGAATAAAAATTTTATAACATTAACATTTATCATTCATAACATTACATTATTGTCTCAGGACGCGGGTCTGATGACGTCCTCTAGCCCAGAGATGGCCAGGGTGTCGACGCTTCAGTATTCTTCTGGTGGATGGATTCGCTAAGAATGCAGCTAATCGATTGGAGTGAGCCAGTAGACGGTCAATGTAGCGGCTTAAGTGCATGTTAATTTGCTCGCTCACTGAGGGAATGTGCAGGTCATTGGCTAGGACCTCATTTCTTATGTACCACGGTGCATTCGCTATGATGCGCAGGGCCTTGTTTTGTAGTCTTTTAATCCGAATGATGTTTGAATACGAAGCAGTGCCCCATATTTAAATGCAGTTTGTTAGCGAAGGAACTACAATCGACCTATACAGCAAATCCTTGTTGCTGAGGCTGAGTGCATCCAGTTCATCTTTCGAAGTTTGGCACGACAAGTCTGATTTCAAGTCGTTTATTGATCTTATTCCACCAATTAAGAGATACATGTTGCGCTTCGGTAATGCTTACACAAATGTTGATAGAGCAAATAATTTTGCAATAGATTCCAAGAAAAACAATAAAGGAAGCTAGCTTCGGCAAGCCGAAGCATATATACCCTTGCAGATCATTATATTTATTTACAAATCGCAAAAATGTTAAATTTCCTATTATTTCACATTAATTTTTCGATCGATTCTATGGCAGGTACATGATATAGTAGTTCGATCTTTTTACAATTAAAATCGAAATTCGGAAACATTTAAAAATGGTCATATCCCAGAGTAAACAAGAAAGGAAGCTAGCTTCGGCCAGCCGAAGCTTATATACCCTTGCAGATAAAGCAAAACACCTATAGTTTAATGCTCACTCAGTGCGGTTCAAGGGATAATTTTGTTTTTAAGTTGTCAAAAATCAAAACGCCTACTTCCTACAAAGTTACAATTAATTTTCTTATATTTGTTTGAATATTCCTATGGGAGCCTTAAGATATAGTGGTCCGATCCGGCTCGCTCCGACATATGTACTACCTGCAATAGAAAGAAAACTTTCGGGAAAGTTTCATCGCGATAGCTTTTAAACTGAGAGACTAGTTCGCATAGAAACGGACAGACGGATAGACGGACATGGCTAGATAGACTCGGCTATTGGTGCTGATCAAGAATATATATATTTTATGTGGTCGGAAACGTCTCCTTTACTGCGTTGCAAACGTCTGACTGAAATCATATTACCCTCTGCAAGGGTATAAAAACACCGAAGCTAGAATTTTTTTAACGTTTTTTTTCCGATTCTTTCTATGGGAGCTATAAGTTATAGTTGTCCGATCCGGTCGGATCCGACATATATACTACCTGCAATAGAAGGAAGACTATTGGGAAAGTTTCATCCCGATAGCTCAAAAACTGAGAGATTAGTTTGCGTAGAAACAGACAGACGGACAAACGGACAGACAGACAGACAGACAGACAGACGGACATGGCTAGATCGACTCGTCTTGTGATGCTGATCAAGAATATATATACTTTATGGGGTCGAAAACGTCTCCTTCACTGCGTTGCAAACTTCTGACTGAAATCATAATACCCTCTGCAAGGGTATAAAAATAACTTCATACAATAAAAATCATTCAATACGAATATAAGGCAGGGTCCAAGCACAAGCTCCTTAACAAATTTGATTACACAGGCCAACAAAAGTTTAGTCCAGTCTTGCCACCATTTTATTTCGACAAATGAGGCTTTTCTAATCATTTATTTAAGTTAGAATAATTTTATGATTATTTTGAAGGGAGAAAGAAAACATAGAAAACATAGTCAAAAAACATAAAAGTTAACAGCTGCGGTCAAAATAGTAGTAGTGTTGCCGCCCTGTGTTTCAAAAGTTTGTTGCTTTTGGGTTGTTTTTTGATGGTTAAAATTTTCAGGAACACACCTGATTATGTATATTTGGATATGTTTTGATTTTCTTATACAATGGTCGGCATAATGATTTTCACAGATTTGAATGTTAACTGTACTCATATTTTGAACTAATAATACAAACTTTTGGCACCTAAAGAAAGAGCACTTCAATTCCGTTTAAATGAAACAATAATGTTCTTAACCCATCAAGCACCCTTTGAAAAGTTAAAAAATTTTTTAAAAGTCAAATTTTAAACTTTTTTTTTGGGGTCTTTTTAAAAACATTCTTATTTAAAAAGGCAAAGAATAATTGAATTTTTTTTTCATTTATTGTATTAAAATAGGTTCAAAGTAAATTAAAAAGTTTTCTTT